GAAACCCCGTCTCTACTAAAAAAATATAAAAAACTAGCCAGGCGAGGTGGCGGGCGCCTATAGTCCCAGCTACTCAGGAGGCTGAGGCAGGAAAATGGCGTAAACCTGGGAGGTGGAACTTGCAGTGAGCTGAGATCCGGCCACTGCACTCCAGCCTGGGTGACAGAGCGAGACTCCGACTCAAAAAAAAAAAAAAAAGAATGACTGAGCCCTGCTTCTGTAGCAGAAAGTCCAACTTTTCTTCCTAATGGATGCCATTCTGAATAAATCTTATCATAAAACGATAATAATTCACTACAATTATCACTAATTTGTCTTTTACCCATGTATTCAACAGAGACCACTCTGACCCCATCTACACTGGGGCTGTGTTATTGATACAAAGTGGAGAGAGTCCCTTACCTATCATAAGCACTCAGACCCTCCAAACATCTGCTACTGAAAAGAAGGGAGTGGAGACTGGAATGATTGGCCTGGCTGTCTGCACTAACCCACCGCTCAGTCGCCAGAGCCTCTTGGCTCTGGTCCACATGGAAGTGAGTGAGTTGGTGCTGGGGGAGAAGTATTTCCCCTCTGCGTTGGTGTCTTTTTACCCTGTGAAACGCCTGCCGGGATTCCATCCCGAGAGGGAGGAAAACGATGACAATTAGTGTTCTGGTGGAAGATTTAGCACCTACTACAAAACAGAGGTTTGAAAACCTATTTTGCAGCTCTCAAATTTCTATTTAAATGACTTGACTTTGACGGCCCAGTGCAGATACCAGGGCTCAGTGGAGAAAGCCCTCAGCCCCCTCTCCCCAGGAGCTTACCCCTGCCTCGAGGCTCCCTTTTTGTCTCTCTTGCTATGTTATGAAAGGAGAGCATCTGGGAACACTCAAAGGCTGACTTCTGCCTGTGTGTCCCACCCTATCCCAAGGTGGCTGTGCTGCTGAGGGACTCAGGCCTAAGGAAGCAAGTGCCCGTGGCCTGGGGCAGGGCCATGCAGTTGCATGGCTTTCCTGTCGCTCAGGTCACTGAGGGCTGTTCTTGGCACTGTCTAGAAAAGTAGCTTGAATCCCTGGAGTCACAGTCATCTCATAACCCAGCCTATGCCCCCGGGCCCCTGCCGTGTGAGTAGAGCCTGCTGAACTTCCTGTGCCAGTGAGACCGGCTGACAGCCACAGTGCTCAAAAGTCAGGGTCTAACCCCACCAGCCTGGCCTTTCTGTAGGATTCCCTGTCTTTGAAAGGATACTGGAAGGGCAGTTGTTTTTCTAAACTTACTCCGAATTCTGAGCCACCGCACCTGGCCTAAATATGTTTTT